TCAAGAAGATTTGTATCGATTCCGCCAAGGTACTCTTGATATCTCTGAATATTTCACACAATTGAAAGTGTTTTGGGATGAATTGGAGAACTATCGTCCTCTCCCTTGCTGCACATGTGCTATCGCTTGTTCTTGTGGTGCAATTTCATCTGCACAAACCTATCGCGAGCAGGATTACGTGATTAGGTTTTTGAAAGGCTTGAACAATCGTTTTTCTCACTCAAAGTCGCAGATCATGATGATGACACCTCTTGCTGACATTGACAAAGCTTTTTCTTTGGTCATTCAACAAGAACGTGAACTAAATTCTGCTACTCCTTTGGATTCTTCTGAAGCCAGTGTCACTGATCTTCATGTTAACACTCAAAATAAGGGTGTGACACCAAACAAATGGAAAGGTTCTTCTTCCTCAACCAAAGGAGGCAATCGAGTATGCACTCACTGTGGTCGAACAAATCACACTGTGGATACTTGTTTTCTGAAACATGGATATCCACCGGGGTATCGAAACCGCACCAAGCCTGCATCTAATACTCAAGGTTCCTCACAATCTCATGCCAACACCATATCACACACTACTGCTCAGTCTGAGGAAAATTCCACACCTATGTTTGGGTTTACTCAAGAGGAATTTCAGAGTCTCCGTGCCATGCTTCAACAATCTCAACAAGCTCAACCTACTGCTAATGTCATCACCACTTCACCCTTTGCGTCCACTTCCCAAGCCTTTCCCAACACTGGTAAGCATCACAATCTTTGGATTTTAGACACAGGAGCAACGAACCACATTTCTTTTCACCTAGCTAGCTTTACATCTTATCAATCCATCGTGCCAATATCTGTATCTTTGCCTAATGGTTCTCATCTTACAGCTTCTGTTTCTGGAACCATAGTCATATCACCATCCCTAACTCTTTACAATGTTCTATATATTCCCGACTTTCATGTCAATTTAATATCAATCACTAAATTGACTACCACAAATGACTGCTCTCTAAATTTTTCCTCGACTCTGTGTAATATTTTGCAGAACCATTCAAAGCAAGTGATTGGTACAACTAAATTGCACATAGGCCTCTATGTCATGGATTCAAATGCTTTCCATAATTCCTGTAATTCTGTAGTTTCTAATTCTTTTAAGATGTGGCACTTAAGACTAGGCCACCTCTCTAATTCTGGTATGAAATATATGTCTAAACAGTTTCCTGTTATTCCTTGTAAAAATAATATGGACCCTTGTGATTCTTGTCATCTTGCCAAATTAAAGAAATTGCCCTTTCCTAACAGCTTTACTAATACTCATGCCCCATTTGAGTTGCTACATGCTGACCTATGGGGTCCCTTGGCCATTGACTCAATTTTAGGCCATAGGTACTTTTTAACTCTTGTAAACGACTTTTCCAGATTTACGTGGGTTATCTTTCTTAAGGCCAAGTCTGAAACCAAACAAAGTGTTATAAATTTTGTTTCCTTACTTGAAAACCAATTCACCACATCTCTAAAGTGTTTTAGGTCTGATAACGGTTCAAAATTCTCCACTCTCAATTCCTTTTTCCTTTCAAAGGGAATTATCCACCAAAAATCCTGCGTTGAAACTCCCCAACAAAATGGGGTAGTTGAGCGCAAACACCAACATATTTTGAATGTTGCCCGAGCAATTACATTTAACTCCAATATTCCCTTAACTCTCTGGACTTTTAGCATACAACATGCAGTCCACCTCATCAATCGTATTCCTAGCCCTTTCCTCAATTACAAATCTCCCTATGAAATTTTATTCAAAACCTTTCCTGTTTTGATTCATTTAAAGGTTTTTGGCTGTTTATGTTATGCCACTACCTTGCAGGCTCATCGAACTAAGTTTGATGCTAGGGCTCGTAAAGTCATTTTTCTTGGGCGCAAAGCTGGTACCAAAGGGTACATCTTGTATGACCTGCAATCCCACGATTTATTTGTTTCTAGACATGTGATTTTCTTTGAGAAACACTTTCCTTTCAAAAGCAATATTTCTCAACCCAAATCTCCTGACCCTAACCCACCAGCTACAACATATGACATAGACCATACTGTACCTCCTGCTGTGGACAACATTCCTGTCACTTCTGCATCATCTGTCCCAGTCCCTAATGACAGCTCTACACCCAATGGCAGTTCCACACCTCTCTTGGACTTGTCCACTCCACACCCTTCTGCTACATCAGCAGCTCCTAACCATTCCTACCATCATATCATCGACCATGACCCTCAAACTAGTTTATCTCCGCAACCTTTTTCACCTCCTTCAAATAATACTTCTTCTGAACATGTGCCCCCTACAAGAAAATCTATTAGAACCAGAAACCCCCCACAATACCTTAAAGACTTCCATTGTAATACCCTTACTACATCTGGTACACATGAGTCATCACCTATCCACCACACCACACCTTATCCTCTTTCTAAAACTCTATCATATGATAGATGTTCTCCCTCTTACAAATCTTTCTGTTGCTCTGTCTCTTCTACTGTTGAACCAAAAACATACCTTCAAGCATCCAAACATGATTGTTGGAGACAAGCAATGGATTCTGAAATTAAAGCTCTTTAGGACACTCAAACATGGACTATTGTGGATCTTCCTTTAGGCAAAACTCCAGTTGGTTGCAAATGGGTATACAAAGTAAAATACCATGCCAATGGATCTATTGAACGTTACAAAGCTCGCTTGGTTGCCAAGGGTTATACTCAATTGGAAGGTGTAGATTATTTTGACACCTTTTCTCCTGTTGCTAAAATAAGTACTGTCCGAGTTCTCTTGTCCCTTGCAGCCATAAAACATTGGCATCTGGAGAAATTAGACGTTAACAACGCCTTTCTCCATGGTGATTTACAAGAGGAAGTTTATATGTCTCCTCCTCCTGGCTATGATAATTTTGGATCTAATAAAGTTTGCAGGCTCAACAAATCTTTGTATGGACTAAAGCAGGCTAGTAGACAGTGGCATGCCAAATTATCCTCAGCCCTTTGTTCTTTGGGTTTTTCTCAGTCCGAGGCAGATCATTCATTGTATACCAAGCAAACAAATCACAGTTTTACCGTTCTTTTGATTTATGTTGACGATATTGTGTTGACAGGTGATTCTCCTTCAGAAATTGAATCTGTCAAGTCTTGTTTGCATCAGAAATTTTGCATCAAGAATCTTGGCAATCTACGATATTTTCTTGGCCTGGAAATAGCACGATCAACATCTGGTATATTCCTTAATCAAAGGAAATATGTGCTTGAACTGCTTGAAGATACATGCCTGCTTTGTGCCAAATCCGTCTCAACGGCCATTGATCCACACTTGAAGCTATCTTCCACTGATGGTGAATCCTTGGAAGATCCCTCCTCATACCGCAAGCTCGTAGGACGATTATTATATTTGACAAATACGCGGCCTGATGTTTCTTTTGCAGTGCAGCACCTCAGCCAATATGTGGCTAACCCGTTGAAACCTCATTACCAAGCTTCCCTTCGTGTTCTACGATACTTGAAAGGGCGTCCAACACATGGAATATTTTTCTCCCGCACTAGCCCCTTAAAAATTCATGGTTTTGCGGACTCCGATTGGGCACGCTGTCCGGATACTAGGAAATCTGTGACAGGGTTTTGTGTTTTGTTAGGTAATTCTCCCATTTCATGGCGCTCTAAGAAGCAGAATACTGTTTCCCGTTCTTCCACTGAAGCGGAGTATCGTGCTCTTGCATCTCTGACATGTGAGGTTCAATGGCTTTCTTACCTCTTTGCTGATTTTCAAATTACATTTCCTACTCCTGCATCCGTATACTGTGATAGCAAATCTGCGATCTATTTGGCACATAATCCTACATTTCACGAGCGTAGCAAGCACATTGAGCTGGATTGCCACGTTATTCGCGAAAAGTTGCACTCCAAACTTATCCATCTCCTTCCAGTTCCTTCAGAGTCCCAGCTAGCGGACGTTTTTACTAAGCCACTTCATGCGCCACTTTTTAATTCCTTCATGTCCAAGTTGGGTTTATGCAGCATACATACTCCAACTTGTGGGGAGGTATCAACATAAAAATAGTGGAGTTAGTTTTTCAGTTATTTTCTTGTTAATGTCAGTTGTGATAAGTTAGTATTTTTCCTCTTTTGCCCTTGTATCCTTTAGTATATATGGTTGTACAACATTGGTTCAATAACTAATAATGAGAAATTCTGCCATTACTATTCTTTTCTCTTCTTCAATAAACAATTTCTCTATTACCAACACATATCACTTGTTAAGATTTTCATATCTTTCTGTTAACATGTTTCTAATTCTGTTAAGCATCTCTTATATTCTCTTATGCTATTGTAGTACTAAGCTATCCTTATATAAGCTTGTATTTCCTTTTATGAAAGCATCAATGCAATAACTCAGACTCCATTCCCTTTTTTATTACTTGCTTTAGGAGGTCACCAGTTCTCGAATTCTGACCCTATTACAGTTAAAAAATATGCTCTAGATTTTAGAATTTGAAAGATATTGTTGACAATTTAAAGAGCTTTTAAGAGATTTAGAGGGTGAGGAACAATTTAAAGAGCTATTAATTTTATATTGGGTACACATAAAATCCTAATAAGTAATTGAAACCTAGCTATCTTGGATATTGTAATATATAATATGATTCACTTCTCTTAAACTTTAATCACTCATTCAATCCTCTTTACTCCCACTCTTCCTACTTTCCCTCCTTATTAAATCCATTTAGTGGCCTATCAACAAACCAATACATTAATATATATCCATCTACTCAACCATTCAATAAAATATTTACAAAACTCAAACCATACAACAATTCAATAGTTAAACAAGTTATAGAGATTGAGTAGCTTCTGTTCAAATGTTGATAACAATCAAAGTTAATGTTAATTAGAATTGCACTCATTAGATACTCTCAACTACTATAAAAACTCACAAATTTCATCACCATAAATATATATTCAACATAACTACAATCACTCATATCAACAAAATGAGTTCTCCTTATGTCTTTCCAATGACAGATCCAAGTTCCACTGTCATACCTGACCCTTCCAACTTCTTCTCTCCAAAACTACTATCCAAACCCCTCCCTACAAACTCTTTCTTCCAAAACTTTGTTCTAGACAATGGTGACCAACCTGAATATTTTCATCCTTACCTCATCAAATCATCTAACTCATCACTTTCTGTCTCATACCCTTCTCTTTCCATCACCCCTTCTGTTATATCCCAAGTTTTCAATGCTGATCTTACCATCACTTCCTCTACAAAAACTTCCAATCAACAAAATCACGTAATATCTTCCTTTAGTGATCTTAGTGTCACCTTGGATATCCCTTCTTCTAATCTCACCTTCTTCCTTGTATGTGGAAGTCCCTTTTTAACCTTTTCTGTCACAAAACCAACACCAATTTCTATCACTACTATTCATTCCATTAACTCCTTATCTTCAAATGAAAAATTTACAAAATACACTTTTAAGTTTGACAATGATCAAACATGGCTCTTATACGCTTCCTTGCCGATCAAGTTAACTCACAGTCTTTCTGAGATCACTTCTGAGGACTTTTCTGGCATAATTCGGATCGCTTTGTTGACCGATTCAAATTCCGAAAATGAAGATGCTCTTGACATGTTTAGTACTTGTTATCCTGTGTCTGGTGACGCTTCGTTCAAAGATCCATTTACTATGGAGTATAAGTGGGAAAAGAAAGGTTCAAGTGATGATTTGCTGATGTTAGCTCATCCTCTTCATATTCAGCTACTTCAGTCTAACGGTACCGACCACAATGTCGCTGTTTTCGATGATTTTAAGTATCAAAGCATTGATGGAGACCTTGTTGGTGTTGTTGGTAATTCATGGCTTTTGGAAGCCGATTCTGTTGATGTTACATGGCTTTCATCCAATGGTGTGAAAAAAGAGTTCCATGATGAAATTGTTTCATCACTTTTGAAAGATGTAGAGGGTCTAGACTCGTCGACAATAACTACAAAAGATTCTTACTCTTATGGTAAGTTGATTGGAAGAGCGGCGAGGCTTGCATTGATAGCCGAAGAAGTATCTTACTTAGATGTGATTCCAAAGGTTAAGAAGTTTTTGAAGGAAACCATTGAGCCTTGGTTGGATGGAACTTTAAACGGAAATGGATTTCTACAAGATGATAAATGGGGTGGCATTGTAACCAAACAAGGTTCTGTTGATCCTAATGCTGATTTCGGTTTTGGAATTTATAATGATCATCTTGATCATTTGGGATACTTCCTTTATGGAATTTCAGTTCTTGCTAAGATTGATACTTCATGGGGTGAAAAATATAAGTCTCAAGCCTATTCACTTATGAAAGATATTCTCAGCACGGACTCAGGATCGGGGTCAGGACCAGGATCAGGTTCAGGTTCAGACTCTGACAACGGCGACACGAGCTTAAGATGGTTTTATCCTTATAGAGGCTCCAGTGTGAGTTCAGGGTTAATGGCGAGTAAAGATGGAAGAAACCATAAGAGCAGAAGTGAAGCTGCAAATGGATGTTATTCAGCAGCATTGATGGGATTGGCATACAATGATGCAGATCTTTACATCCTCGGATCGACACTTTTAGCTTTTGGAATCAAAGCAACTCAAATGTGGTGGCATATAAAAGAAGGAGGAAAAATATATTCAGAAGAATTTACAAAAGAGAACAGGATCATGGGATTTCTATGGTCCAACAAGAGAGAAAGTGAACTTTGGTTTGAGCCAGCCAAGTTTAAAGAAGCTAGGCTTGGAATTCATTTGCTACCATTGTTGCCTATTTCTGAAGCTTTGTTTTCTGATGTTGAATATGTGAAGCAACTTGTTGAGTGGACATTGCCAGCTTTGGAAAGAGAAGGTGTTGATGAAGGATGGAAAGGGTTTGTATATGCTTTACAAGGAATTTATGATAAGGAAAGTGCATTGGAGAAGATAAGAAGTTTGAAGAGTTTTGATGATGGAAACTCATTCACTAATCTATTATGGTGGATTCATAGTAGAGAATGAAAACTGTGTAATCAAGTTGCAATATTGTATCTTACATCAATCTCTATTTCTTTTATGCATATATGGTGAATCATGTTAATAAACAGAAATAATTTATTTTCTTTTTAAGTACTTTATTTTAAGCCATTAAGAATGAATAAATTCCTACTCTTTATCACTTCTGCTATGAATCCACCATAAGAGATTAGTCAATGAATTTCCATCATCAAATCCATTCAAGCTTCTTATATTCTTCACTCCACTTTCATTATCATAGATTCCTTGCAATGCATACACAAAACCTTTCCATCCTTCTTCAACACCTTCCCTATTCAAAGCAAGCAATGTCCACTCCACAAGCTCCTTCACATAATCAGCATTTGAAAACACATCTTCAGAAATTGGAAGCAATGGTAAGAGTTGAATCCCAAGCCTACATTCTCTCCAAGCAGGAGGAGCAAACCATAATCCACTGTCTCTCTTGTTGGACCACAAAACTCCCATCATCCTATTCTCTTTTGTGAAATCTTCTTCATACAGATTCTCTCCTTCTTTCACATGCCACCACATTTTAGCAGCAAGAATTTCCAATGATGTAACTGTCGTTGCATTCGCTACGAGTTCTGCATCGTCGTATGCCACACCGATCAACGCTGCAGAATAGTACGCATTCACAGCTTCACTAGTACTCTCTTGGTTTCTTCCATCCGCAAACTCGGTTAGTCCTCCGGCCCATGAATGCAATTTATATAGATCAAAACACCTTAGACGCGTGTATTTGGAGTTTGAGTTTCTACTCAATGTCATAAAATCTTCCAATAGTGAATAGGCTTGAGACTTATACTTCTTACCCCAAATAGGATCAATCTTAGCAAGCACTGCAATTCCATAGAGAAAGTATCCTAAATGATAATGATGATCATTGTATATACCGAACCCGAAATCAGCACCAGTATCAGTAGATCCTTGTTTGGTTATAATACCTCCCCATTTATTATCATAGAGAAATCCATTTCCATTAAAAGTTCCATCAAGCCAAGGCTCAATAGACTCCTTCAAAAACTCCTTCACATTTGGAATTGCATCAAGGTAATTCACCTCTTCAGCTATCAATGCTAACCTTGCAGCCCTTGCTATCAATTTTCCATAAAAATAAGATGATGATGTTGTTATTGGTGATGACTTTAGACCTTCAACATCTTTCATAAGAGCTGAAACAATTTCATCATGAGATTCTTCTTTCACACCTTTACTTGAGTGCCAAGTTACAGAAACAGGATCGGTTTTCAAAAGCCATGAATCACCAACAACACCAACAAGCTCACCATCAATGCTTTTATACTTAACATCATTCAAAACAGTAACATTAGAATCATTCGTAGACAAAAGCTGAAGATGAAGAGGATGTGCTAACACCAGCAAATCACCTGAGCCTTTCTTCTCAAACTTATACTCAACACAATTATTTTCTCTGAGCATAGCATCACCTGATAAAGGGTAACAAGAACTGAACTTATCAAGAACATTCTCGTTTTTTGAGTCGGAATCTGGGAACAAAGCAATCCGAATTAGACCGGAAAACACTTCGGAAGTGATCTCAGAAAGTTCATGACTCAACTTGATCGGCGAGGAAGTGTATAGAATCCATGTTTGATCATTGTTTAGGCGAAAGGTGAATTTTGTAAGGTTATCATTTGAAGAGAATGAAAGAATGGCATGAATGGTGGAAATGCAAAGAGGGGTTGGTTTTGTTACAGAAACAGTCAAAAAGGGACTTCCTCTAACAAGAAAGAAAGTCATGTTTGTAGAAGGAATATCCAAGGTAACACTGAGATCACTATAGGAAGATATTATATGATTTTCATTGGAATTTTGATTGGATTTTTGTTCAATAGAAGTTATGGTGAGGTCAGCATTGAAAACTTGGTATATGAAAGCTGAGTTAAAGTGGTGAAAAGGGTATGAAACAGAAAGTGATGAGTTTGAGGATTTGATGAGGTAAGGGTGAATGTATTCAGGTTGATCACCATTCCTGAGAGCAAAGTTTTGGAAGAAAGAGTTAGTTGGGAGGGGTGTGGATAGAAGATTTGGAGAGAAGAATTTGGAGGGGTCAGGGAGAACAGTGGATTGAGTTTGTGGGAACAGAAAAGGTTTGTTGTTTTTGTTGTTAGACATTGTAGCTGATATGATAGTGGTGAATGTTTGAATTGTGCTTATTGTAATAATGGTGATGAACATGTCTTGTGCTTTTATAGTTTTTTAGCATTATGGTAGTTTTTTTAGCTCAAGTCATGGGTTGAATGTTTTGGTTGTTGATGAAAATTGAATAAAGATTATTAGGAGGAATTCAAGGAGCATGAAGGAAGTGTGGGAGTAAAGAGAATGGAATGATTAACTCAAGTTTAAGAGAAATAAATTTTGGGCAAATATGTTACGTAAATGTGACCATGTCAAGAAATAAAACCAAAGTTCTCTCAATGAGAACAAAATATCATAATTAAGAATTTTAACATAATTAAAATTTTTAAAAAAAAATTAAGTAAAATGACACAAGGAATTGTTAATAAAACTTGTGTAAAGTCAAATATAATATGCACGAGAATATTATGACAATATTAATGCAGAAACAGATAAAATGTAAATTAAGTAAAAGGATATAAAAAATTGTTAATTCAACTCGATATAAAGTCACCTACATCTAGAGGACGTTAATCCAAGAAAAGAAATACACTCTTAATAGTAAATACATAAATTGGTCTTAGTTGAACCATTCTATTTCAAAGCCTTTTTTTTAATATTACTCGTGAATTTCTATTCAAGACTCTCCTTAAATATAAGATCTATCTCACTTTCTTTTAGACATTTTCTGAAGTGTTTGGACAGTTACAATATAGTATGTATGATGAAACCAATTACGAACTCAAAATAAATTCCATTCCTTTATATGGGAATGAAATTAGCAAATAGAGTTTCACAAAACAAACTAGCAATGAAAAATAAAAGACTTAGTAAAACTAAACATGTCTTGCTTGTTGTCTCAAGGTATGTGTATTTTACATGGAGAGCTCCTTCTTAAATAGAATATCGTTAGAGTTTGTAACATTTCGAGCGGCCGAAGAAAATCTAAAAAGCGCAATACATTAATCTTCATTAATATGATTTGTAATCTTTGATATGGTAAATCTCTATCAATCTGGTTTGTTCTTTTAAGATCTTGAAAATTATTCTTTTGGGAAAACTTTCCATATTCCACAAAGCGCATAAAATACACAAACAACAAAGGAAACAAAGCACAAGATTTACTTAGTGCAGTTTGCCTTCTGAGCAAGGCAGAATGTCTCACAATATGTGAAACATCTTGCTTCACATCCTGCCTCTTGGTTTGAGCTCATAGAGACATAATATCTCAACACAATATCATGGCATCCTGCTTCACATGTTTCCTATAAAACCGCGCCAATAAAATGTAACAACAATCTTCCCCTTTGGCCATTTTTTAGGCAAATACATAATGAAAGATGTGCAGCAAAATGCTAAGGGAAAACTTCATGACATGTTTCGGATAATACCAGAGAGCAGCGAAAACATAACATGCAGATGCTAAAAAATTCGGTGGATCTAAGGAACTTGCATAAAGTTGTCTACTTAATAGTTATCTTGCATAACCACATAAATTGCTTTCCCCTTATTGCCACAAAATGAGCAAGGAGCATTAAAGTAACCACCCATAGAGAAAACAGTCCAAGAGGGACATAAAACAGAACTGAAACCCAAAAAAATGGAACCAGCCCAACTGAGGGGTAAAAGGAACCATTATCCTGTCAAGAGGACTATTAAACAGATAATAAAGAAACCCACACAGGGGCATTGAACACCAACATTATCATAACCAAACAAAAACCATTATAAAAAACTTCAATTTTTAGATTCGCCAAAGGAAATCGACTCATATCTACCTTCACTTCCACCTACTTCATCCTTATTCTCACTATCACCCTTCTCCACATCATTCACGACATCATTCTCTTCATCCATACCAACAATTTTGAATGTAGATGCTTCAGCTCCTTTGGGACTCATCATTTTGATTAAGTCATCCAACTTGTTCTCTCTAGTTGTGGATGTAAGAACAACTCCATGCAACAATTTGGAAACCTGCATCAAATCTAGCAAAACATGACCTCTGGTTATACTAGACATGGGAGGAACCTTAGGTAGGTTTCCATTTACATTCAGATCAAAGTGTTGAATCTTGGGAAGATAACTGTTCGGAACATGATTCCCAGTAAATAGACAATAACTAAAAGTCAAGGGTTTGGAACTACCACCAACAACATCATCACTATTTAAAATGTCATGCTTTTGATTTATAAGAATACCAGGGATAATGGATGGAAAAGAAATGGGTAACTTCACAAAAAAGGACTCACAGCTTGTTTTAAGATTTGTTCAAACACATAATCACCAAAATTGAAGGTTACCCTAGTGCCTATTTGATAAACCAGCCTAGCCAAAGAGGGAGTAATACATGAACTATGATTAGTTAGAGCTCAATTGTAGACTCCAATCCTGTTCAGAATGACATACTTCACACTCAAGCTTGTAGTAAGAAGAAAACCTTTACAATGCCAATCTTTATAAACACTTTCACTGATTTCTTGAGAAATGGTCTTTAGAGGAGGAACCTTGTGAGTTATGATCAACTTGCTTCTTCCTAGGTACCCATTGATTATGATAGGAGAAAAATCGACATAACTTCCTCAAACATGGACCTTTATGTAATCTTTACTTCTAGCAATGTTGAAGTCTTTAGGAATATTAACGATAAATTCTTTGAGATACTTAGGATCGTATGGATTAAGACTTGTTACAATCTTCATGATTTGAGCATTCTCCAGCAACTTAACAATCTCCTCATGTTTCAAAGTTTCTTTTGACAGTTCCCTCACAGGGGGCTATCCTTTTGTGATATACATACTTCTATTTCAGAACGGTTTCTTTAGAATGGAATGATACATTGTCAAAGGGAGCAACATGGATATTTATGGAAATTTTCTTGCTACCAACAATTTTATTATTCTTCTTGAGAAGGTGTACCATGATTTTATCCAAATTGTTTTCCATATCTTCTTTAACATCTTCCACTACAAGAGCGAATTTCCTTTTAAGAGTTGCTTTTCTTTTTTCCTCCAAACTTCTCACTGCTTGTTAAATCTTTCTTCTCCGTACCATAAATTTCTTTCGTTTTTGTTGTCTTATTTGCCTTAGCATGAGTAGACACCTTCTTGGAAGGAGTCTTATTAGGCTTAAGAGCATTTTTCTTATTATCTACTTGTGGTTGCATGCACTCCAATCAAAGTGTTTGAATGAAGACCATAATACATAAAGTTAAATAAATATCAAGGTTGTAAAAAAGAAGATATTCAAGATCATATAATATTTCAAGATCACTCTTTGAAGTCTTCTACATGTGTACAACCAACTTTCAAGATGAAGATTTATGAAGATTCATCAATAAGTTAGGTACAAGTTTTAATTTGAGGTTTTTAAGATGATATAGTGCTCAAAATATACTCTAAACATTTTACATAAGTGTAATGATCATTTAAGAGTATAACATTACATGTCCATCCCTTAGAAAATAAATTTTTATCACTTTCACTCAGTGGTAACCGGTTGCAGGGTTACAGTTACCAGTTACATGACTTCACAAAATTAAAATTAAAATTTTGGTTCAGTGGTAACCGGTTACAGCTTTTGGGTAACCAGTTATAGGCATGTAAATTTTAAAATATAAATGTTATTGTACATGTGTAACTGGTTACAGCCTTATGGTAACCGGTTACCACTGAAGAAAAATTCAAAAAAATTCTGTTTTACATGGCTGTTGGATGATACTTCTTGGGGTCCAACCATTACATCTTTTTACTCATTTAGGGTGTAATAAAAGGGTGCATTTCATATATAAAATTCGTTTTCACTCAGATCATAACATAACACATATTATTCAAAACTTCAAAAATTCTTAAGTGTTGTAAAACTTTGAGAATTTACATATTACATGAAACATTGTTTAGAACTTTCATGCTCATCATTGTTTCAACAAATATTGAGCATTAGATCTGACTATTAACTTCCTATTAAATATTGTCTTAGTATCTTTATAACCATTATGTTATTCAAGAATTGATCATACTTTGTAAAAATCAGATAATGTATAAGATTAACCTTGCATTCCAAGATTGTTGGAGCAAGTGTGTATATTGAAGAGGATTGTTCTTCTTGCACTTAGTGCTGAAGATCTTAAAAGTTTTAAAAGCCTTTGATTTACCTATAGATTAGATAATAAGGCATCACCTTTAGTGTGATTAGGCTTGTGCAATCATTCTAAACTATAGTGAAATCTGTTCCGCGTTGGCAAGAGGATTGGAGTACTCTCGATTTGTGAGGGGAACCAGTATGCATCTGGTGTTCATTTACTTTCCGCAATTTATTGCTTTCATCACCATAATCAGAAAAATAAGAACTTTAAAAAGAAGGAAAAAAATTGACCATCACCTAATTCATAATTTTTTTTTTGAATAACCGTGTATTAAAAAAAATCGCAAATAACCACGTTTCGGAAAAAATTACGCAAATAACCATGTTTCAGATGACTCCCAAAAGGAGGAGCCATCTTACTTGGCGCCTACACCCATTATTTAAGGGGAGGCACCATCTCACTTGGCGCCTAGGTTCTTAGGGCATGCCCTAAGCCAAGTGAGATGGCGCCTTAGTGCAATTCTAGGGTAAATTTCACATTTTTTTCCAGTCCGGTGCGTTGAGTATTCGATACAGGATCAACAAAATTGACTTTTTATTTTTAAAAAATGATTACACCCATATGTATTACATTAAAAAAACAGATAAAAAAACAGATAAATCAGTGATCCCCCAGAACCCGGTAATGACCCCCGGTTCCGCATCCCCATCCTCGCCTTTCCCGTGCTGGGTGTCGTCGCATTTCCTGCTGTGGCAGGATCGATGGCCCAGCGAAGTCAATGCGTTCTGGATCCATGAAATCAGTCAGATCTTCATATCTAGAAGAACCGCTTTAGTACAGTCGGTTACCCATACCATCAAAGTTTGGTCGTGTTGGCGGTGGGTGGGGTTCCATAGTGGGTCTGTAGCATTGA